CCCACCATTGCCCTCTCTCCAAAATCAATAAATAAAGTCTTAAAAAGTAAAATAATAAAGAAATTTTTAAAAGACTAACAAAATGTATAAACCCCTAACAAGGGTGACCCAAAATATAAACATATAACCAAAACATGACTAGAAAACACATGGAAGTAATCAGAAGACATCATGAACCCATAGTAAGCTACTTATATTTATAAAGTCTTCTATTTCCACATTTCATCTACGAACTGTAAAACCTGAAAACAGAATGGACCAAAATGTTCACCTGTGCGTTTTGTTTTTTGTTTTGTTTTGTTTTTAATTTAGAGTTTTATTATCAGAAATTCCCTAGAACATTTTTGATTTTTACATATCCTCCTATGGTCGGTATAACTTTGTGTTAATAAATTAATAGGCTTTCAAATTATTAGTAGTATATTCTTAATTCTTTTTTCTTAAATTTTATTTATTTTTCAAGTACAGTTTTTGTCTATTTCTCCCATCCCAGCCCCCCCACCTTTACGTTTTTTAATCTACCAATATTTCTAAGCATAAAGTGGCAAGGTATAAACTTAATTCTAAGTTTAATTTTATTATTTTTTTAATTTTATTTATTTACTTCTAGAAAGAAGGGAAGAGAGGGAGAGAAACAGCAACGTGTGGTTGCCTCTTACATATCCCACACTGGGGACCTGGCCTACAACCCAGGCACATGCCCTGACTGAGAATCGAACTGGTGACCTTTTGCTTTGCAGGCCCGCGCTCAGTCCACTGAACTATACCAGCCAGGGCCAAAGTAAAATTTTAAAAACTAATGTTTATGCTTAATTATTTCAAATTGATAGTTATAAGAACAGACAAATAAGGGTCCGAGTTGAATTATTGTTACACTCACCAATTTTGATGGACCGCAAGGGCATTTTGCCGAGTAAACAAAGCCAGACTCAAAAGGTCACATACCATAAGACATTCTCGAAATGACAAGATTATAGAGATGGGGATCAGACTCCTGGCTGCCAGGGATGGAAGGTGGGGGGGCGGGGGGGAAGGACAGGGCAGCGGGAGGGAGATCCCTGCGGGGAAGGAGCAGCCCGGCTCTGCGCTGTGGGGATGCTTTCAGTGAAGAAACGGCCCAGAAGAGCGGCAGCTGTAGCCACGGCAACTTCCTGGCATTCATGCTGTGGCCGGTGTTACCTAACTGTATCTACTGGACAAGTCTGGCTGAACAGCATGCAGTGACCTGTCTACTTTCTGTGCAACTTCCCGTGAGTCTATTATTATTTCAAAATAAAAAGGTTTTAAAAATTGCTTTATACGTATCTAATTTCACATTCCACTTCAAAGGAGCCCAAAATAGACATGGTAGGAAATTCATCTGAGCCCAGCTTATCCAAGAAAGAACAGGATAAGGCCATTCCTGGACCCTGAGCCTTACATCAAGACCAGTAAATAAACACACATGTATGTTTTAAGACTAAAGGGCTTGTAAGGTTTCCTGTGCTATTTTTTGTAAAAGTTCTTTTGCTTCATTGACTTTTTGGTTCACTGAGAAACCTACCTACCGCAACAGACAGGACTTCTACTGTAAACGTGCAAACAGTGATGGGAATAAAGATAGCTAACACTTCTTCACTTCTTATTTTATGGCCTCTTCAAGAGTTCCACGGGAAAACATCACAATTCCAGGGCCCCTCCACAACAATCAGAACACAGAGTTGAAAGAATAAAGAACAGCCCTGACTAGTGTAGCTCAGTGAATATAGTGAGGGCTGCAAACCAAAGGGTCACCAGTTTGATTCCCAGTCCCGGCACACGCCTGGGTTGCAGGCCAGGTCTCCTGTAAGGGACCCTTGAGAGGCAACCACACATTGATGTTCCTCTCCCTCTCTTTTCCTCCTCTTTCCCTCTGTGTAAAAATGAATAAATATTTTTTAAATGTTAAAAAAGAAAAAAGAACACACATGTAAAAACTGGAAATAACCCTGCCGGCGAACAGGCGCTCCAATAGAGGTAGCTGGTGGCAAGGTGCGAGGCCTGACGCATCTAAACATCTCCGATCAAGAAAGCCTAGGACCACCATAGCTGGTGTGGCTCAGTGGACTGCGCATGGGCCTCCGAACAAAAGAGTCACCGGTTCAGTTTCCGGTCAGGACACATGCCTGGGTTGCAAACCAAGTGCCCATTGGGGGTGGGTGCATGAGAAGCAACCACACATTGAGGTTTCTCTTCCTCCCTTTCTCCTTCCCTTCTCTCTAAAAATAAATAAATAAAATCTTAAGGAAATAAAAAAAGTAAGTCTAGAATCAGTATCTATGTTCTTCATAATACGCATGCATTAAAAGTTTTCACGGTCTCCATAAATTTTTACTTTCCAAAGCCCCTAAAAACTTCTAGGGCATTTCAAAAAGAAATGGCCGTAAAAAAATAGATTTGCTAAATCTTATGGCTAAGAAACAGGTTTCTGCCCCACATATTTGTCATTAACCGGGTGTCAATTCTATTGCCAATACAAAGCCCTGCCTAAGAGATGGGACACACCCCACTGCAGGCGGGAAAGACACCAAGGTAAAATCCATCAGTACCCGGCTGGCACCCTCAGTACACATCTGTCAGAAGGACTCTAGAGAGTGAGCTATGTCTAGCGATTCCTTGGGATAAAAACAATGACAATTCATTCCTCACATTTAATAGGCAAAGCTGGAAGAACTATATAAAACCAGCAATCACCTTTTTCAAGATATTAAATAGCTTCAATACCCATCACACAGATTTCCTCTGGTGCACAATCCCAACACCTGGGTCTCTTCACTTACCCCTAGAAGGAGTTTGGGACACTTCTGAATAATATTCAAAACTTCTAAGGGCCAGGGACTAGGCATCACACTGGATGAATCAAACGTAAAATGGTGAGCACTCTGAAAGTCTAAGTGATGCTTCGTACATATACCTGCCTCACTCATGGCAGGCACTCAGCTCAGCACTAAACGGGTTTTTGATCACAATGCTAAAACTTGTATTTAGCAGTTATTTGATTATGATTACTAGAAAGAAAAACTTCATTAGGTAAAGTTGTCTACTTCAAAAACTTTCCCACAAGACATAAACAGTAATATAAAGACAATTCTGAAAATCGGTTTGCCTGAATCTCAACGTTTCAGAAATAAGAAATTATCTCTCACCTCCCCTGCTCTGGTGAAAAATAACATGACAAAGAAACAGACAGGAACTGCTGCGTAAAAGACAATGACCAAAGAATCACTACTATGCCACTTCTCAACTCAATTTTTTGTGCCTTTTTATCTCATTTTTTAAAAGATTTTATTTATTAATTTTAGACAGAAAGGAAGGGAGGGAGGAGGGAGAGAAACATTAATGTGAGGTTGCCTCTCTTGCACCACCTACTGGGGACCTGGCCTGCAACCCAAGCATGTGCCCTGACTGGTAATTGAACTTGTGACCCTTTGCTTCGCAAACCTGTGCTCAATCCACCAAGCTATACCAGCCAGGGACTTTGTGCTTTTTTAACCTAACATTACACCACTAATAAGAATCCCACTGTCCACGACATAGCTTCAACACTTGGCTCTCATATTTCTCAGGACTCAAAACTCTGAAAAAATAAGAGGGGCAATTTTCCTTCACTACAAGTATCTGTGGCTTTTGATAAACCATCACACAGCATATAAGATTGCATTTTAAAAAGTGGATCACTTGAGCCCTGGTTGGTATTGCTCAGTGGACTGAGTGTGAGCCTGTGAACCAAAGGGTTGTTGGTTCGATTCCCAGTCAGGGTACATGCTTGGGTTGTGAGCCAGGTCCCCAGTAGGGAGCAAACGAGAGACAACCACACGTTGATGTTTCTCTCCCTCTCTCTATAAACAAATAAATAATCTTTAAAAAACTTTGAAAAATAAAAAGTAGATTACTTGAGAAATACTGAAATTGTTTAACCTCAGAAAAGAAAAAAAATACATATACTACAAAGTATTCCAGAGATTTCTTTTTTTGGTATTATGGAGTTATAAAAGCAGTTTTTCCAAGTCATTTGCAAGACAAAAACAACCCTGGGTGAAGAACAGTCCATGGAAATATTACCACTATTGTTTATTCCATATTTCTACACAAGCTTTCAATTACCTTATTAAATCAAAACATTAGCGAGTTTAAGGGCAACATTTGTTTCCATATGTTCTTTTTAAATTAATTAGGGTGACCTAGGTTAATAGGGTTTATGTGGGTTTCAAGTGTACAACTCTATGACACATCATGTGTCTATTGCATCATGTGCTGTTTCCACGTTTTACATGCTAAAACGCAAACACTGCTCTAAATAAGAAATCACAACGACAAAGCAAACAGCTCAACTTAACTCCTGTCGCTCCAGAAGCACAAGCACAGGATACCATAAAATAAGTCTCTTCAAAACATAATTGTGGCATGTCAGTTCTCCACCACATAATTAACTGAACATCTTAAACCCTGTCACCGTACAGTTACCAAGATACAGTTCAGAATGATACAGACCTCTTAAAAATGATAACACAAAGTTTTATATAACTAGACCTCAAGCTTTTTGCACTTACAAATAACTAATAAAATGTAGCCACACACTCGGTGAAAACGGCAATGAAAACCAACACAACATCCCTGGCTGGTGTGGCTCTGGATTGAGTGCAGGCCTGAGAACCAAAGTGTTGCCAGTTTGATTCCCAGTCAGGGCACATGCCTGGGTTGTGGGCCAGGTCCCCAGTAGGGGGTGCGAAAGAGGCAACAACACACTGATGTCTCACTCCCCCTCTCTTCCTCCTTTCCCCTCTCTCTAAAAATAAAATTTTAAAAACCTTTATAAAAACCGGACACAATAAATATATGTGCTAAGTTTTACAAAATAAGCCTGTTTCTCCAATATTGCAAGATCCGTTCTGCATTGCCCTTCGTACCCTAAAGAAAACCTTCACCAGAATCTAAATATGGAGGCAGAAACACACCAAGAAAAAGGCTGATCAAAGCCCCACCTGTATATCTGTTTTCAACCATTTGGAGTCCAGTCGAGCCTGGGCCGCCAAACAGAAAGACTCGGAGGGCATCTTTCCTCCAGCTTCCTCCCAGCTGTCACACCTGCAGGCAAAACAAAAATGCTGAAGACTAAGGCTTGTCAGAATGTTACAAAGACCCTCCTGCCAGGTGTAATGCGGCAGAGAGAGAGAGAGAGAGAGCGAGCAGACAGGAGGGAGAAGAGTTGCGGGAGGAAAGTGAGAGGAGGCAAAAAGGAAGGAAAGATGGAGAGACGTGAGGGAGAGAGTGAAAGCCTACTTCCACCCAGGTGAGAGCCACGCGGGGTTCGCCTGGCTCCTGGACTCCGTCAGCGAGACCTTGAGGATAATGGTCGGTCACAGGAGACCGGACCACAATGTCATCCCCTTCCCTCAAACCCGAGAGGGAAACACAAACAGACGACAAGAATCCCACATTTCAACGACAAATGACAGCACCGCGCATCTGTCGCTTTACCCCAGACCAGTCGATGGAGTGTGAAACATATTAATCAAAATTCACACATGCAGGAAAAATCTAAAACAATAATCACTTAAGACAGGGAAAGACAGCCCGAGACCTGCGCTGCGGACAGTCCGCGCAGGCCCAGGTCCGGCAGCCGCACCCACACCCGCTGCGCCCCAGCTGGGCCCAGCCCCAAGCCCCAGCCGGCCCTGCCCAGGCGGGCGGCCGCCCTCGCTATCCCCCTGAGACTAGGACCTGAAACGCAGAGGCCCGGCCGCCCAGCTCCAGCGGCGGCGTGCGGACACTGCCTCCCAGCCGCCTCTGGCTCCGCCCGCGCCCGCGATCCCGGCTCCTCTCGCGGCCGGAGGGGTGTGCCCGCGCGGGACTACCGCCCCCGCTTTCCAGCCAATCGAAGCAAAGCTTCTCCACCGACTCAGCCAATGGAGAAAAGGATCCCGTTCGCCCCGCCCCGCAGGTTCTCCAGCTTCCTTCAATCCTGCTTACTTTCCTCCTAGGAGTGCAACCCTGCAGTCTCGGCCAATCGTAGGCTTGGGGAGGCGGGATTTCCGCTACACGCACGCACGCACGTACGAACACAATTACTCCGATTCCGGGCTTCGCCCAGCCCTGCGGGAAATTTTTCCTGGACAGTGGAACTTGCGGAGCTTGAGGTACTCGAGGGACACGCGGCTGGGTGGTCCCCCGGAACCCGTAGAAATGAGGACCCTGCGCGTGAAGTTGGTTCGAGTCTTTAAGAATCTTGTCTGTCCCAGTGAATGCAACCAAAATCCTGGACAGGAAACGTAGACCATCTGGTAGCCCTGAACCCGTGGTCATAAAACAAGTTTTAAGAAATATATAACATCACAGTAGATGTTTACTAAGTGGTAGCCATGCAAAAAAAGAAAGAAAAAAAGAAAAATATATAGCAGAATTATCTTCCCTGGTTATAATGAAATTAGATTACAAATCAGTAAAAAGTACCAGGACGACCTCCAAACACACTTTTACGTGGATCAAAGACAAAATCTCAAGGGAAAATTGAACTATTTTGAATTGAACGAAAACTAAAATATAACATCAAAATTTGTGGGATTCAACTAAAGCAGTGCTTAAAATGAAGTTTATGCATTAACTACTTACCTTGAAAGGAAAATCTAAAATCAAGCAAAGCTTCCATTTTAAGAAATTAAAAAATAATAAGTAGCACCAATTCTACAGAAACTCTTCCACAAAATTGAAAAGGAATGAACATTTGCATTTGTAAAGAAAAGAACATTAAAAGAAAATTAAGATCAACATTCTTCCTGAACAAAGAAGCAGAAATTCTTAGCCAAGTTTTTGCAAATAGATTCCAACAACATATGGAAAGGTTAATAGGTCATAACTAGGTGGAATTTATCCCAAGTATTCAAGGTTAGTTTAACATTCAAAGCTAAGTGTAATTCACCATGAGGTCATCTAAAAAGATACAGGAAATGCTTTTGACAAAATCTTATCACAAAAACTCTCAGCGCACTAGGTCATCTATGAAAACTTACACACAAGCCAAAACATTCTTCAAAAAGAACAAAGAGGACTCATACTTCCTAATATGAAAACTCACTACAAAACTACAGTACAAAAAACAATGTGGTACTTTTGTGAGGATGAACATAGCCCTGGTTAGGTTGCAGGTTTGATTCCTGTTCAGGGCACATACACAGGTTGTGAGTTCAGTCTCTCTCTCTCTCTCTCTCTCTCTCTGTGTGTCTCCCCCCTCGCTCCTTCCTTTCCTCTAAAATTCAATAAACATTTTCAGGTGAGGATTTTTTAAAAGAAGGATGAACATACACATCAATAGAAGAGAACACAGAAATACATATCCAGTCAACTGATTTTGAAAAGGCTGTCAAAACCATTAAATGGTGAAAGAACAATATTTCCAGTAAATGGTACTAGAAAACTGGATATTCACATGCAAAAGAGTAAAGCTGGACTGTTACTTTACACCACGCATAAAAATTCATTCAAGCCCTGGCCCGGTAACTATCGGTTAGAGCACTATCCTAATACACCAAGTTTGTGGGTTTGCTCCCTGGTCAGGGCACATACTAGAATCAACCAATGAATGCTTCAATAAGTGGAACAACAAATCAATATCTCTTCCACTCTCCCTAAAATCAGTAAATGAAAAAAAAATTTTTCTTAAGGTTTTATTTATTTACTTTTGAAAATAGGAGGAGGCAGGGTGAAAGAGAGAGAAACATCACTGTGTGAGAGATACATTAATTGGTTGCCTCTCACACGCCAACTGGGGACCTGGCCAGCAACCCAGGCATGTGCCCTGACTGGGAATCAAACCAGCTACACTTTCCAAGCCAGCGCTCAATCCACTAAACCCCATCAGCCAGGGAGGTAAAGGAAAAGAAAATTGTAATTAATTCAAAATGGACGAAACCTAAATGTAAGGCCCAATGATACAAAACTCTTAGAAAAACAGAGCAGGAAAACATTATAATACGGTTCTCCAACCTCTGGGCAGTTCCTGTTAGGAACCAGACTACACACACATCAGGAGGTGAGATTGAATGTAATGCACTTGAATCATCCCAAAACTACCCCCCCACACCCTGGTCTGTGGAAAAATTGTCTTCCATGAAACTGGTCCCTGGTGCCTAAAGGATGGGGACTGCTGCTTTATAACATTGGATTAGCAATGATTTCTTAGATATGACATCAAAAGCAGAGGCAACCACACAAAAGATAGATAAATTGATATAGATAAATTGAATACCATAAATGTAAAGCTTTGAATGGCCCCAATCTTACTTAGGTCCCTACTTTTCATCTATTTCCCCCACCTCCACCCCAAAACCTATGGAATTTACAGATCATCACCAGCAACATCTTCAATTTATTGTGCAATGTTGTATCGTGTTATTCTTCTAATGAAAAACCTGCCATGGCTGTTGTGGCTCAGTGGATTGAGTGCTGACCTGTGAACCAGAGGTTTGCTGGTTTGATCTCATGTCTGGGTTGCCGAACCTGGCGTGCAACCTGCAACCCAGACGTGTGCAAGAGACAACCACACATTGATGTTTTTCTCTTGCTCCCTCCCTTCCCCTCTCTAAAAATAAATAAAATCTTTTTAAAAAGCAAAAAACCTGTTGTCCTCTGTAGAAAACTGGCTTTTTACTCTCCCACATCCATCCATCTTAGAGCATGAAGTGGGTCCCTGCCACTTTTAGTGGATTCCTTCTGCCTTATTTTAAAAGAACAACTTCTTTGTAACATTTGCAATCAGATTATACCACCCTCTGCTCCTGATGGCAATCATCCTCAATTCTTCCCATTACTTCCCAAGCTCACTGAAGATTGAAGATCTTGGCTAGGACCTCCCTATCCCCTGACCCTGCTGCTACCACAGGTCCCATTCTCAGGGCCCTTCCTAACATAGGAGTCACTTGCTTGGTGCCTTACCTCTCAGTTCCTCATGGTCTTGTTTTTAACCATCCTGCTTCCTGTTCCACTGAGCCACTCACCACCACAATCGGTTCCGTTCACCAAATCACCTTGGAGGTTACAATTGGGAGCCTCTGGCTCATTGATTGTCCCATCCCATTTTTCTAGTTCACTTCCTGGAATAACTATGCCGACAATCTTCAACCCCTTCACCAGTCTTGACTTACATTCTCACTTCCCTTTTTCGTCAAGTTAGGTCCGATCACGTGATATAAAACACCTTCACTTCTGAGCTGGACCTATGCAAGATTCCTAACTGCTCTCCCTGTTTCCACTTTTGTACCCCTAGCAACCAATACGATGTATTTCAAATACACTTCACATTAGCTCTCTCCCTAAACAAAATCTTCTCATAGCTTCTCATACTTTACATAAAATACAAGGTCAGCCCTGGCTGGTGGGCTTAGTGGATGGAGCACCACCCTGCAAACCAAAAGGTTGCTCAACTCCCGGTCAGGGTACATGCCTGGATTGCAGACCAGGTCCCAGGTTGGGGGCCCAAAAGAAGCAACTGATAGCTGTATCTCTCACACTTGGATGTTTCTCTCCCTTTCTCCCTCCCTCCCTCTCTCTCTATAAATCAATAAATGGAATCTTTAAAAACAAAAGACAAGGTCATTGCCATGCCTGCAGGCCCTACCTAATCTACTCCTGGCTTCTCTATCCTCACTTCCTTACACTTTCCTCTTCACTCACTTTCCTCCAAGCACACATCTTCTCGGTACTTTTCCAACAAGGCAAGCCTGTTTCTGTCTCAGGGCCTTTGCACTTGCTATACTCTCTCATTGGAATGATCTTTCCTCAGAAATTTGTCAGACTTTCACCTGTTTGTAAATGACTCAAAAACCCGCCATCATCTGTGTGATTTCACACCACAACTCCAAATTCCCAAGAGAATCAATCTCTTTGGCCACACCCACACCATGGAGTGTTCCTCTTTCTTGAGGCCTGGATCCACCCTTGGGTCAATCACCAGGTTCAGCAGGAGAATCATGTGGTTCACAACACATACTTTGACCCAGTCCTTAACAACAGACTGTCAGTTCAATGCATGTTCAATGCATTTCCAAATACAATGCATGAGTTGGGTAGGCGTTTATAACATTCCTATTCTTTCTTCTTTCTTTTTTAAAGATTTTATTTACCTGCTTATTTTTAAAAAGAGGGGAAGAGAGGGAGAAAGGAGAGAAACATCAATGTGTGGTTGCCTCTCACATGCCCCCTACTGGGGACCTGGCCTGCAGCCCAGGCATGTGCCCTGACTGGGAATCGAACCAATGACTGGCCTACGCTCAAGCCACTGAACAACACCAGCCAAGTGTTCTGATTTCTTTACCAAAGAAATTGGTAGTGTGCATATGTGTATGAGCATAGAAAAAGATCTGGAAATGTATATTCTAAGGGATGTCAGTAGGAAATGATGCTATTATTTTCTTAGATATGCTTCTCTGTATTTTCTTGTTTTCTAAACACATAAAGATTAAATTGTGTTCTCAGATACAAATAAGACTTCAGGAGAAAAATGGAGTGTAATATTTAACTTAGTTAACTAGCAAAGTTTCATTTCTGGAAATATGATGGAATAAGTTGTCTGAGAAAAAAATCCTTCCACTTAAAAACACCTAGCCATGTTGGAAATGATGTTTCAGTCTAAATATAGCCAAATTTTAAAACTTCTAAAATATCTCTGGTAAGTAGAAACAGAGTTCAAGCAAAGGTAGAGTCAGAAAGCTTTTCTTGTTTCAAAAAAAAAATTAGAGAGTAGAAGGGAGAGAAAGAAAGAGAAACATCAATTTGTTGTTCCACTTATTAAGGCATTCATTGGTTGATTCTTGTTTGTGCCCTGA